CTACCACTTCTTCCAACCCGGGTGGGTCACAGGCAGCTCTGAAAAGAATGAGGCTGTATTACAGGCAATGAAGAACGTACAGGTGGAGAAGGCAGAGCAGGACGGGCATTCTGGATGGAAGGAAAAGTTGGGTATCATGCCTTCCTTGTTCAAATGCCACTTCTAAGGACCCTCACCCACGTATGAAACACCTGTCCCCAGTGGCCATTCACTACCCTTCTGTCCTTCCCCACACTGCTGCCCAGTCCCAATTCCCTGGCAACTTCCCCCATTCTCTAAGACAGTGGCTCTCAACTCTCCCTTTTGTAATAAATACTCCATAATATCCCATTTATATCCCCAAATGGAATTCATCGCTGATATACCTCACTAACACATACAAGTTCCCCTTCAAATTAATACGCTGCCCTAACTGTAATGTATGAAAGAAATGTAATTTGTAATAAAGCAATATGTATTTCAATATGCAAATACCTGGCTAGAGCAGAAAACCTAACTCAGATGTTTGCACCTACTTATTTATAATAAGTAGTTTGGATTTGAAAGATCAGGAGCCATTCTGTATGAGAAAGTACAGGAAAATGAACACCCAAACATAATCAGAATAAGACCTAGCATTTGGATAGAAACCACAGATCAGACCTACTTGAATGTGATAGGGAAAGGGGAAACAGTCTTAACTGACAAGAGGACAACGCGTCAAGACTGCCCATGTGAAGAGAGTAATGTGAACGACCTGGGCTTTACCTGTAAGAATAGTGTAACAATACTTCCCTAGGGGATGGGACAGTGCTTTATGACACAGGAGGCAGCTCTCTTATCTAGAAACCCTGCCACATGTTGAGTCCTGAGTTCAGTCCCTGAATGTCGACCACGACATTTGGAAGTCACGTGAGACGCAGGTCAGATCTTTGTTCTGTGGAAATGTCAAGTCTACACCCCTGGTCCCCTCAGCTATTTTGACATTTAAAAAAAAAAGTGCCCTCATGCATGTCCCTATGCTCCCTGGTGACAGTACTTCCCCTGTCGAGAGCCACTAACCTAAGACTTTGGCACCTGGCTCTTGTCAGTCCTTGCACCTCAACTCCTGCCACCATCGTGGGCAATGTCAAACATCCATGTGACATACCCTTTGAAATGTTAGCCTCTTACTTCCTCATCTCTGGTGACCTTCCTCTCAACTTCACTTCAACCACCAACTGGGCACACCTGGACTTGGCCATCACTGGGCACTGTTTCATTACTAAAATATTAAATCCAAACTCCCCAGTATGATGTCAATCTGTTATCCTTTCTGATTTCTCACTTGATTATTCCTCCAACACCTATGACCTTAAGGATCTCTAATGCCTTTCTTTCTTTTTTTATTTTTTATTTTATTTTTTTGTCTTTTTTGTGACTGGTAAGGGGATTGCAACCCTTGGCTTGGTGTCACCCGCACTGCGCTCAGCCAGTGAGCGCACTGGCCATCCCTATATAGGATCCAAACCCGCAGTGGGAGCGCTG